TATTCTTCACTTTTCCATGAGAGCAGGTATCTGGTAAGTATGTAACTTGATCTCCAAAATACTGCACTAACAGTAACAGCGAATAATGATTCGTAATTGATGTGGTCATTTTTTAATGCTATTTCTTTTAGCATTTCTAATTTTTTTCACTATAATTTTCAGGTTACTTGTTTAAGTCATTGTCAAACCTCAATTGAAATTCGGTGACAAAAAATTACACTTTTGGCATTGACGCGTAGCTGTTATACAAGATATTCACATTTTTTTTTTGACAACATATCTCCGTGACCATTCGATAGTCACATTGTCTTTTCAGAGCAAGAAACATGGTGAAACAAGTTTCTTACAACGGTTTACGCGGAAATAGTCACATAAACAATCTCCAGTCATATTTTTATATAATCAATGGCAATATTTCTAGAGCAGAAATAACATACAAAAATAACCAATATGCATATCGCAAATATTTCATTTCTTATTTTAAAATGAAAGATTAGCATGTAACTTTTACGAAAATATCATTTTTTCTTTAAGGAACCCTCTGCTTGCTATTTTATAGAACTTCAAAGTTGTATTTTTGGTGGTAATACTCTAGACTAGAATACTGTTTTATACGCTGGTTTTTTGGCATTTTGCACAAAAGGATGCTCTAAATTATGAGAACATAACATACAATGGATAGTACTAAGGAAAATAGATGTGAAACTGTAAAAAGTCGTTGGTTTTTCAAAGAGAAAGGTTAAAAATTAACCGGATCATAAGCTAAAATGACAGTTCCCAATACATACCTATAGCGCATAAAGGCCAAAATTCTTGTTTTTTTTTCGGAAAAAAATTAAAGAAATCGGTAGAAATGATCATTTTTTAAGGAAAACTGATGTGAAACTATAAATCGTTGCTTTTGCAAAGACAAGGTTCAAAACTAGTCGTGTAATAATCTAAAATCGAAGTTGAGTCATTTATTGTAACAGTGAGTAGATCTGATCAAAAGAAATGTTTTTTTCCTTTAACATGTTTGTGGTAAAATTAAAGTAACAAAGTTATAGCTCTTTAGAAGTTTGAGTACCGCCCTCTCTCAATAATAATATTATGTGCTCGTGTTTGGCAACAACGGATATAATCCGCCTTATCGGTTCATCGCATCGGAAGCAAAAAGGCGAAAGAATTTGAAACGCTTATCACGATGTTTTTACTACAATTTTATTCAGTTGTATTCAGTCGGTAACGCGTAAGTGAATAGTGGTGTTTGTTGCGTGGCTCAAACGAAATAAAAAATGGCACATGTTTACGAAAATGCTGAACTTGTGGACATGATTCTTATTTACGGGGCGGCATCACGGATTTATACGGATCGGTTTCCCAATCGAGTGCAACCAACCCCTCGTGACTTTGTTAATGTAGTACAAAGGCCTCGTGAATCAGGTGACTTAAGACCTCACAGGGGAGGACATGCTGGTGCTCCAAGACCGCACGATCAAATTTCAGTGCGGACCTGCACTGAAATACTTGTCGGGAGGATACTTTATAAAACAAGGTAACATTTTTTTTATTTTTTTTTATTTTTACACACATATTTTGGTTTATCTTCCTCCTACAATCATTATCTGAAAATTAATGACTCAACATCAAAGTCACCCTATATACGTAAATAATGATATTTACTTGGAAAACTGTGTAGAGGTATTGTGTTATGATTTTTCAATGTCTTCCTGAAATTACTGCAACTTCTATTCGTCGATTTGAACCACGTCCGCAGAGTTCTTTGTTATGTTTGCATTATTTAGTGACTGGCAACAGCTACTTTTTCGGTAATTTCTCATATATCATATATATCACATCTAATTAGGTATATTTTGTGACATCAGCTTCACTTTAAACAATTCTTCAAGTACATACATACAAAAAGTAAATAGACTATCACGATAATATAGGGAAAATAGTAACTGAAGTATTTTTGGGAAGGGCATATTGCATTCTTCAGAATAGTGTATTTAGCTAGCGCTATCGTAGGGCACGAGGTAAATTTAGTACAGTAAAACCTGCCGGCCACACCTCCAAATTGTATATAAGTATAAATTTGACAAACCAAATCAAGGTATATTACTATTCATGATTTGGCAACATTGCAACTAGGTGGAGAAATTGTGATAGCTATGGTGGTGTAGTGATGGGGATATTTACTTGAAATATACGAAATTACTACTTAACAATGATCTATGTTTATCATTAAACAATGCAGAATTGCATTATTGCGGTGAATGGTGTTACAATAATATACAGTGTATGTTATATTCATATAATTTTGAGCACTTTTGTGTGTAAACAAGAAAAACCAGCTTACAAAGCAGTATTCTATACACACATTATTACTACCCAAAATGCAACTTCAAAGTTCTATAGAATACCAAGCACTGGGTTCCTTAAGGAAAAAATGATATTTTCGTACAAGTTACATCCTAATCTTTCATTTTAAAATAATAAATAAAATATTTCCGATATGCGCTAAAATATAGTTCAGCCGTAACCAAGTTTCTATGAATATACAAGGTGTCCCAGAAGTCGCTGTCAAGCCGGAAACGGGGGATAGTCCAAGTCATACTAGTTATCAGACAAATAATAAAAAAATCGTATACATTAAAAAAATCGGAAGCATCTACACCCTGTGTTTAATTCCCATTACTACAAATTTCAACTTTTCCGTGGGGTAACGGACAGTGTCATTCTACGTAGTGACAGCAAGACAGATATTATCGCCACTTGTATTAATTCAAGATTATGTAGTGCCCATGTTTGTGTACGCCGTCATCAGTTCATTTATGTGCAATGTAGATGCAACGCTATAATTGTCATCCCGATCACCGAGTTTTTGTGTATCTGCTCCGTTTACTCTCAAAGGGACTATATCCAAATAAAGCACAAATAGAAGCAAGGGCGGAAGTCCACAGCGGTACAGCCCACCGAATCTTGCAAAAGTTTGAGCTCCGTACGATGAACGCGACTACAATCTCTATAACCCCGGGATTAGCTTCGAAGAATTGAGTTTTGTCATACAATGCTATAGAGACACCGGGAAGATCCGCGATTTTTAGAGAAAATTTTATCGACTGATGTAGAAAATCGACATTTGATGAAACAAGATAGATCACAGTATCGTTTTAAACATGTGGACCGGAATTCCATCATAATAATAATAATAATAATAATAATAATAATAATAATAATTTATTGATGTTAATACACAGAAAGTGTTTACACAAGTCAATATATACTAATAGAACGCTTAAAAAATAACTACATCAGACATGGATAAAAAAGTTAAAAACAATGCAATGCTGCGTAACGCACAATTACTAAAAACAAATTGATGAAGAAAAAACAATACAAAATGTCGTCATGAGATAAAAGAAGATCGCTTAGAAAAATATATGTATAATACAATTAACTATACACATACAGACAAGCAAAATAATAACAAATGTACACAAGTTGGACAGAGAAATAAATAAATAAACATTTAAGGTATTGAGTAGTCATTTGCCAAATATTCGTTCGTGCGTTTTTTATTAAATAATACTTGGAGTTTCCTATTAAAAAGTTTGTTCCAACTCTTGATTTTTCTAGACGGTAGTTATTATGACAAATGTTGTTTCTATTTCGTGTTTCATAATTGTGGTTATCACTATGAATGGGGAAGGTACTAATGTTACGTTTGATATATAGGAGACAACTCAAAATATACGCGCATGGAAGGTTTAGTATCGCCAACTTTATGAGTTCAGCCTTTCAGAGGTGTCTGAATTTCAAACCAGATATGTATTGGATACCACGGCTTTACATGCCAAACACTTTTTGCATATGTGGAAAGTGTCCCTAGACCAAAATTGCATATGTCATTTTAGAGTGGAAATATGCATGATAAGCAGTTAATAAGAGTTTATCAGATACTCTATCGTTTAGACTACGTATGAGATATATAACTCTGCGCAAACGATCCACCACACAGCGAGTATGCACCTCCCATGTCAGAGTACAGTCAATATGTACTCCTAGCAATTTCACTGATTGAGCAGATTCCAACTCATAACTGCGTAAGCTCAGTATTATAAACTGAGTTTTATCAGTATTGAGCAATAACATATTGGCAGCAAACCAATCCTCATGGTCCGGCTTACACAATGAGCTGGTTTCGACAAGGGTATTTATTTATTAGAATTTACCAAAGTAGTGTCATCAGCATATAAACACAAAGCAGCATTGTGCGTATTTGACAGGCTATTAGGGATAACGTTAGTTTATAATAAAAACAGCAATGGTCCCAGTACGGAACCCTGAGGAACTCCAAGGATCACTGATCTGGTATCAGAGTTACAGCCATTGAAACGTACTAGTTGTTCTCTGTCGGATAAGTAAGAGTCTAAAATCTTGATGCTAGAAGAATGAATGTGATAATTCTAAATGGGAGAGTCATTGTACCCTTTGTGTACCCCTTGAGCTGCCAGAGTTCTTGAATGGCAAAATTTATTTAGACTTTTAACAAAATTTATTGGAAGACATGTCGTACCAGCAAAACGGCTGCTCGGTGCACTATGCACGTTCAATTAGATCCTCTTGATGCGGAATACCCAGGCAGATATATAGGGCGATCTGGTACAATTTCGTAGCCAGCTCGTTCAGCTGATTCAAATTCACTCGATCTTTTTACTGAGGAGCGGTGAAAGTAGAAGTTTACCCAAAGCCAATCGAAAATTTAACTCAGCTACGGGACAGAATAATGGGAGCAGCTGAATTTGTTAATAACGGATGATTCGCCCATCTGATAACCCGATCATTTTTAAGATGTCAAGTTTGCATTGCTGCTGAATGAAGGCATTTTGAACAATTATTATGAATTTATTAAACGCATTCACGAATTAATAAAAGTGGCGTTACCGTCTTGCTGTCACTATGCAGGACGACGCTGTCCGTCACTCGGTCTAAGAAAAAAATTAAATCTGTAGTAATGGGAACCAAATAATCATCACACGGTGTACATTTTTCCGACTTTTACGATTTCTTTTGAAGCCTATGATTTGAAAAGTACACGACTTACATTCTTTCTACTTCTCTAATAACTACTATGACTTTTCCTATCTACCGTTTCCAGCTTGACGTCTACTTCTATTCTAAAATGTCCCAAATATCCAACCAAGAGTCAGGGTGTGCCAACTTCTACGCTACTGCTACGACTGATTAAGGACCAAACGTGAATTTTGGCTACGGTAAGATATTCTCCTTATACCATTTTCAAATACAAAAACTAACCTTGGCGTATTTTATAAGTATAGCTCTTTTCACGGTTTTTTGCGGTTACGTCACAATGTCACACGAAATAAGTAATTCGTTTGACCAATAGAACCGTGTACCCCTAAGGGTAATTGCACACTGCGCAAAATAATCCGTAACCCAGCTCTTATTCGCTTTTACACATGCACACATGAATAAGGTGAAAGAGGACCGTTGTTCCCATTCACGTTCAGAAAAAGCTGTTAAAAAGTTTCTGTAGTTTTAGGCGCTATCATGTTTTTAGTCGAAGATCAACAGCAAATTTGTAAGTCGGTGAGACAACACTAAGAACCTATATCTTTGAGTTTGCACAAGTAAATGTCCGCGCATAGAAGCTGTTTACATATGCACGTCTCGGAGAAATTGATGTTTGAAAGTAATTCCTATAGTCAGTCCTACTGTAAGCAGGCGAAAACTATGAAAAGACCTATAGAACGGGTTGAGGTTTTCTATGCGAATATTGCCTCAAACTTTTTCCTACAAAGTAGTACTCTAACAAAAATTTCCCAAGAGTAACGATCCATGTAAAGTCAACTATAGTACTCAAAAATGCAATAGGTATTTCAAGAAAGTCAATGGCGTTGACACTAGTTTTTTCTTTCTTGGGTGTCAAGATTTATTAACATCTACACCGTTTGTGTGTTCTTAAGAACGAAAGCCTTTGTATGTACAGGGTGGGCAACTAAGAATCCGAGGTACTGTATCTGGGAACCTATCCAGCAAACACAGTCATTACTAAAACGGCCAAGAGAAAAACCTGGAAAATGTTTTCAAGTTTTTGAAATGGCCGCTAGGGGCGTAACTACAATCTTGAATCTAAAAAAGGGATGTTTCTGTGAATTTCGCTATATTAATCTAACAAAAAAATGCCTGATCTTTACAGTCGAAGATAATCTGAGCCTTTTTTGTTTGATAATTTATGCTGACCATCACGCTCTGTGCATTCCTGAAGCTTCTCATGGGTAGACGAAACTGTAGCTTCAATTTCTGCTCTCGGTTTGTTACGTATTGCATTACGAATCTAGTTTTTCATATCTTCTCTGGTTGTAGGTTGAGTCTGGAACACGATGTCCTTTTACTGTCCCCATAAATAAAAATGCGTGATCGCTAAGGCCATGGAATAAGACTTCCTCTTCCAATCCACCGCTGTTGAAATATTATATAGCTCTCGCACAATAATAGCAAAACATGCCGGGCAACCAAAAACCAGTTTTGCCGTATTTCCAGTGGCACATCTTCCAACTACAACGATAATTGATTGTCCAAAAGGTCAAGAAAGACATCGCCACTTAGGAAAAAATATAGCCCAATAATTCTGCCTCCCAGTATGCCACACCACGCATTTAAACTCCAACGCACTGCATACTGTGCAGATTGACTCTCCCGTCACTATTAAAGGTGGCTCCATCGGGCCAAAAAGTTTGAAATAAAAATTCTCTATTTTTGCGAACCATGCCTAACATCCATTGGCAATAGTCCAACCTCCGATCAAAGTCTTTCTCTTCCAAAGCCTGATGCAAAACGACATGATATGGGTGCATTCTAAAAGTAATAAAAAAAATTAAATATAAACAAATAGCCATAGTTTGATGGGCATTAGAGCTTACCTTCAAAATATTTTGAACCGCTGTGATATGCCCAACTCAAGGGATAATGCCCTTGTGCTAACATGAGGATTTCCTTCAATATATCTCAGTACGCGGTGGATATTATCTTTTTGATACTATATTCTGAATACATTCAAAATGAACTGCAAGCACATCATAAGCTTCATCGTTAGTAAAACGTATTTGGTAAACACAAAAATTGCTCAAAGTAGCGCGAACCTATTGACAATTTGAGGATTATGTATTTGTTTTGTTGTATTTCATGACCTGCTTCTATTAATTATTGTTTTTTTCGTATATACCCATAGTGAATATGCATATAATCAAAAAATATGCCTTTTATTCTTAGCATTACTTACTTTCCTTTTAGCGATATTTTGTAATTTTCAAAAAGGGAAATTATATTCTGATGAATAAAAAAGAATTTAAAGTTAGTTTAAAAAAATAAAATTTTCTTTGCCCTAAATTTTAGGTTAGGAACAATATATAGAGATGCGGTTTTCGCGATCTTGTTTAGACGTCATTTAGCTACTTTTCATAAAAAAATCATACCAATCCATTTAATTTTTTTGGATAAAGTTAACCAGTTCTGTCGGAATAACGAGAAAGCCCTCTAGCTGCCTCATGTGAAACTAAGAAAACTTATAGCAGTTGTAGCCCAAAAATAGCTCTTTTCAAATAGCCCAAGTTGCCTTTTCGAAGATACAGGGTGTTGTTTACGTAAACCTTTGAATACCCCCACCACTGTATTTTTAAAGATACAGCAAAAATTGTCAAACCAAATTTTTATTATTATTATTATTATCCCTAACTCCAAAGATCAAGTATTTTATGTTAGGTTAATATAGCGGAATTCATGGAAATATCACTTTTTTAAATACAAGATTGCAGTTATGCCCCAGAAACTTGGAAATATTTTCCAGGTTTTTTCTTGTCCATTTTCGTAAGTACTTTTTTGCTGCATGCCTCTACGATGGATAGGTTCCCAGATACAGTACCTCTCATTCTTAGTTGTCCACCCTGTACATATTAGCTATGCTATAATGTATACAATTTTAAATCAATATGTCTTAATACACTCCGAAGATATATTTCTCATTTCGAAATTATAATATGTATCTGATCTGTAAGAAGGCAGCCTCGGCCACGTTTAATGAACTCTTTGTGATATCTACAGGGTGATTAAAAAAACATGACAATATTTTTAGCAAAATCTGAAAAAATAGAAAAATCTAACTACTATAATCTAAATAATATATTCCTGAACCCTTCCCAAAAAGAAATGTCGCTCCTCCACCATGAAACCATTTTTCAAAGCGAAGTACTTCCACCGTGGCATATTCCTCCTTTCATAGAAATTGGTCTAGACATTTCTTAAAAATGCGCGGTTACAAGAACGCCCACAGACGGACAAGCCTGCAGGGGATGGATTTGCATACCCAAAATATAAAAAAACTATCTTGAACTCCAGAACCTTTGCGATCCTGTTTTATGATAAATTCTGTTTCTTTTGTTATAATAACATATGAGAGAAAAAATGGCAAGTTATATATATTTAAGAGGATAGTGATAAAGCGTGGTTTTCATTCTAAATCTTTTTTGCAGCTACTGAATTCCCTGGATAATACTTAGGAAACAGCTTTCTGTACTTACTGTGAATGCGCTCGCACACTGGATACGAAATCATGTACTGTCAAAATAAGTCATCTAGTTCGGACAAACTGTTCAATTGCATTGATATAGAATCTCTGTGAAATATAGTAAAACGTCTCTGGTCACGGCAATGAGTAGATATATACAGAGAAAATTGGCGAGAGATATAAAAATGACTCCAAAAACATGGCGTAAACAATACAGCTGATGCGTCTAAACAGGTACTGTTCTTATTCTGTTGGATGAATTCATTATTTGTTCAAATCTACTATCTCTACAAAATTTATTTTTCGTTTAATAAAGTTATAATATATACTTCTTGAAAGAGAAGATATGTATTCGCAAAACCTGCCTAAAATTGCTTATTTTCCAATCGTCGGTCCAATTGAAATGATCACCAGTTATCTAGATAGATTGGCCTTGAGATGATATGTTTAATATTTATTTCGTATGACTTTTTGACGTAACCACCAAAAGAAAACAACTGAACTCCGTTCAACTCAGTATAAATGTAGCATTTTCCACACATTTTATTGAAGTTTGGCAACACAGCCTCAATCAACCAGATGGTAGTAAAGGGCGATTCAAATTGAGTTTCCACATAAAAAGTATTTAAAAAAATAAGAAATTGAAAATTAAAAAAAGTATATTTATTTGCCCTTTGGAAGTAGTTCGAGAAATTTTCGACTACTCTGTGGCAGGTCCTGTGTTGGTAATTTCGCGTCTGATCTCCTGTTTAAGCTCCGCAATGGTGTTCGGGTTATTTTTGTAATAAACTCGCAAGAAAATAAAGGACCAAGGGAAGCATGATAAAGATTTCCAAAAATTCTGGCATTCCCAGGAAAGTTAACCAAGGTTGAAATGTTTGTATTGTATGAGACAAGTATGATTGCCCTCAAAGGTAGAAAATCTCGAAATACTAAGATATTTTTCAGCTCTGGATGATTTATTAAAAAAGGTATGGGAGATTAACTCGATACCTCCCAGGCATTCAAGCATAGCTATTTTCAAATTTTCTATGACACGTTGTAAGGTTTTACATGGGCCGCTGATGTGCACATACATAATCAGCAATGTTGTGTTCTTCTTAATCACAGTGAGGATAGAACTAATTATTATAAAAACTAGTTGAGCCGAGCTTGGACTTGAGACGATATATTTAATATTTATTTCGTATGACTTTTTGACGTAACCACCAAAAGAAAACAACTGAACTCCGTTCAACTCAGTATAAATGTAGCGATTTTATTGAAGTTTGGCAACACAGCCTCAATCATCCACGTCAGATGGTTCGCACATAGTAATGGGTGATTCAAATTGAGTTTCCACATTAAAAGTATTTTTAAAAAAGGAGAAATTGAAAATTATAAAGAAAAATATTTATTTTCCCTTTGAGGGTAGTTCATTGCAATTATGCATGAAATATGATATCAAGTAGTTACTTGACTGCAGCGGCTCATGTGGCATGACGTAATCCGTCTCGAAAAATTTTCAACTACTCTATGGCACAAATCGGGTCCTATATTGGTAATTTCGCGTCTGATCCTCCGCAATGGTGTTCGGGTTATTTTTGTAATTTACTTGTAATGTAGAAACTCAATTTGAATCACCCGGTATTTATTTCTACGCCAGTATTAGACCAAAGACCTACATCGCCTACCGGTTACATCGCGAACTGGTATGGAATCTAAAAAACTAATAAAATCTTACGTACTTTAATCAGCTAAATAGCAAATTCGGTAAGATTTGAGAGTACTAAATATCTATACTGGTGTATACGGAGTATGAAACTTAATCCGCACCTATGTCAGTGATACAAATGTCTCATCCCTGGCTCCACCCCTGACGCCGTATCAAATAGCCAAAAGATATTCTAATATCACCATCTCGATAAGTGGTTCTGAAAAAATAAAATTCCAGCTTTTGGTTACTTTTTAATTGCGCGAAAAATTCCTGAAGTAATGTAGGATAACAAAGAACGTGATACTTTCTAAAAGATACGCCACTGTATCACCGTTTTCATAGGAGAAGCGCCATTTTCCATGTTTCTGCCAAATCCATTTGGATGTGTTTATTGGCCTTAATGCGCGGTGTCTCGAAGGTGGCCAGGAATAACACACGGGAAGTTATAAATTCCCGTTGAAAAGTGTTATCATCTGCATTATTCTTTTTTAGTTCGTCCCGTTATATTTTAGTAACCATTATAAAGGTGTGCGTTGTGCAACATGTTCAACTAGAGCTTCAAAGATGGTGTTTTATGAATTGAATAAAATCGCCTGATTATGAGTCTCGAGCATTAGTAACGCTGGTGTTAGTAAACATTGATGTTTATTGGAATTTCAATATAAAATAAGTCGAGAACTTCGAGAACTCCACTACTCATGAAAGTTTTATAGCAAAAATGTTTATAGTGTTAAAATTCTAAAATACGCTAATGAAATATTATTGAAAATATATGGTCTTATAATTTGTTTGGCACGACGAAGAATTGTACAAATGTATCTAATATACTTACTACAGTCGGTATCAAACGTCTTCTGCGTAATCATTGTACTTTGTCTATTGAGTCTGTTGTTTTTATTTATTCTAGAACGTCTGGAACTCCATGTACTGAAGCTTGATGGACTGTGACAAGTTGCATATTGACCTGTAAAATAAATTACACGGTAGCTTTTAACCCAAAATATCTTATGAGTATGTGGAAATCAAACACTTCAAGAAACATGTTGAGGTCCCAATACCATGAGTCAAACTCACAAGAGAATATAAAGACCAAGGAGAGCATGATAAAGATTTCCAAAAATTCTGGCATTCCCAGTGAAGTTAACCAAGGTTCAAATGTTTGTGTTCTATGAGACAAGTATGATTGTCCTCAAAGGCAGAAAAATCTCGAAATACTATAATATTTTTGCAGCTATGGATGATTTATTAAAAAAGGTAGAGTAGGGTAGATGAACTCGGTACTTCTCACGCATTCAAGCATAGCTATTTTCAAATTTTCCATGACACGTTGTAAGGTTGTACATACACCGCTGGTGTGTATGCATAATCAGCAATTTTGTATTCTTCTTATTCAAAGTGAGGATAGCACTAATCATTATTATAAAAACTAGTTGAGTCGAGTCGTGGAGGTATTTCCGCTCTGGGGGCAGTCCTCCTCGGAGATCCTCCCTTGCCTTTTTTCCTGTGTAAACATCAGATGTGCTCTATAGTGTCAAACTAACAACAAGTACCACTTTTTATACCGGGTGATTCTCCAAGGTGGCTCACCACTATAACTTTTTTATTATTGAAGATCGAAAATTGAAATTTGGGGTTGCGTATTATAGATGAATGTACATTTTTTAACATATTCACTTTAAAGTACTTCCGGTTTGACCAGAATCGACTCCAACTTGATTTTTAAATGGGACACCCTATATATTTTTACAGTCATTTATTTTTATTTCAAGTTTTATTTTTCGATCTAGAATGCTATGTATCCTGTAAATCGCTTCATTTTTTATCAAGTAACACGGGAAAAATACGATTTTGAGTCGGACGTCCTTACAGTCATTTTAAAGACTTTATAAAAGTTGCAAACACCAATTTTTTCAATTTACTTAATTTTTCCAAATAGAACGAGGGTGGCACGTCGGCTTTTTCTAAGAGACCATTTTCCTACGAATAATTTGACACCACGCACTGTTATTTTATTTAATCTGTGGCAGCACGTTACAAAACTATCATGAGCAAAGATGCAACTCAAATTACCTCTACCAGTGGCGTCCGTGATTGCTGCCATAGCCCTCCTCGCCATAGCATGTGCAGGTATGACTTGCAGCCTAGTGGCAGTACGCAGCAGCCTCTGTACGTCCAGTGGTGAACCACGCCAGCCTCTCAAAGGAACTTCGTCTACCGCTAGAAGCCTGTCACCAGCAGATAGAGCGCCACAACGGTCCGCAGTACTTGCAGGTGTAATGGATTCGATGTAGTAAGGTGCTACAAAGGATACACAAAAATTGAAATCCGACATCCACAGAAGGACGCGATTCCAAAGACGTGATGAACAACGATAAATGGTCAGTTATGAACCTCGCTATGTATAAAGACATAACAGCATGTTTGCAAAAAATGTATTTGGAGAAGAAACCGAACAATGTGTGAAGCTTGATTGATATTAGAACCCTCATAATATATCTAGAAGAGGACAATTATTTGATAACTGATGTCTAATGTCCAATGCATTTTATGAAACTAGCACTAAAATAACAGTAAAATAGTATTCACTAATAAACATACTAAACCCTGATGACGAAATGAAGAGATCAGCCGCATGCAATGCTCGCCACTGCTGACGCGATATGCCTTTGAACTGAAAAAGTCCATGCGCGAGAATCCCGTCGTATTCAAACAGGCGCCGCGCTAGCAGAGGTGTGCGCTGTGTTCCGCTGCTCCCTTCCTTTTCGATACCCAAGTATAGATACAGCATTGTGCAACACCAGTCCAGCATGTAAGATTCTTGCCAGTTGTTTCTTGTTATGGAAGTTAATCTATTTTTTATTGTAATTTTGCACTATGTGTGAAATCTATGAGATCTCTTACCTAAATCTCCAATGCAATAGAGCGCATACAAAAGAAGTTTTTAAGGCGTATAGCCTATTAACTGAAAATACCAATGAGCAGGAAAAATGGTATTGTCCGATTGATCCGCACCTTTGGCTGGTAATGATATCTTAGACGACTTAGAGGGTAATAATACAAGAGAATCCATATTGAACAATAAGATATTGTCGAATTCGTGTAGCCTCTCAGATTAATAAAGGAGCTCAGTATGCTTTTGTTCATGCATAATTTAGTTTAAACACGTGGTCACCAGTTTCAACAAATTATATTAAAGCAGTGGACTTTCTGATAAGTCATACTACCTTCTTATAACAGACGCAAACGCCTGATCCTTGGTAAGCAGTGCTTGATATTCGTCACTCTCCAAAGCCATCAATTCATCAATAATAATAATAATAATAATAATAATAATGATAATAATAATAATAATAATAATAATATTTATTCACTCAATGTACACAGAAAACAACATGAGTAAATAAATATAAAATAAAAACAAGCCCGATAGGGGGCATTTCCTGTGCATAGACATACAGCTGTAACTGTAAAGTGCAAACTATAAAAAAGGGTAAGAATTAGTCACAGTGGACCATACATTTACTTGATGTTTGCATTTATGAGCTTAGGGCTGTCAGTCCTATATACAGAGTGTAGTCACTTTTTCAAATGTATCTTGAAATGTAAATCTTTAGGTATAATTTGATAAACCTTTGGCGCTAAATAGAGATATGACTGCTGCATTATAGATTTATGTGGCCACAGAAATACTATGCTACGGATTTTGTACCTTGTATAATGATTATTAAATTTTTTGGTCGGTGTTGACAAATTTATGGTAGTGTGGGATAATGTCTAAGAAATGAAAGTGCCTTATATCAGACATTTTTATATTTGCGTAAAATTTGTCATTCGTTTTTTTTAATCATTTTTCGATTATTTTTTTGAAAAACATCTAAATTACAGATATGTGATGAACATGCAGCTCCCCATTAATGTACCATATGTAAAATGAGGCTCAATCAGTGTATCACATAATGTACGAAGACACCTTTCTGACAGAATATCCATAAGATATTTAACTTCACACGATACAAATCTAACTTTCCTTGAATTATAATTGTCATGGAACTTAAGTGAGGATTCAAAATTATTCCAAGGTATTTTATGTTTGGCACTGTATTAATTTGCAGTTTTTGATCATGAATGTTGAAGGAGATATCTGTATAATTTGGCAAATGTCTAGCATAGGATGCAAATGATAAAATTTAGAATAGGTAATGCCCAATTTTCTGCTATGAAACCACCGAATAGTCCAGTCACTGTCTTCGTATAATATTGCAGTATCATCTGCAATACTGGTTATTTTGCCAACACAATTAATTTGGAAAATATTATTTAAATATACATATATTAAATATCAGTGGACCTAAGGCTGTTCCATTTCCTTGCTAGATGGTCTGGATATCTGGACAGACTGTGTGCGGTTTGATAAGTAATTCCCGATGAGTGAGTGCGCTTTTCCTCTAAAACAAATTCTGTCCAATGTTTCAGAAGATAATAATTCCTTTAAATCAACAAAACCGCAAATAGAAGGAATTTTGGTTATGAGCATTTTGATGTATTTGATTTAAATTTGAATTAAATTATTGCGTCCAAGTATCGAAACATTGTAGTAGATAAGACTTCTTCAAAAACATTTGCTGTACTGTATATTAGTGATGTTGGTCGATAAAATTGTTACCATCGGATTTTTTCCTGGTTTATGTATCAGTACTATAAAATCTTTTTTTAAATTGAGAGATATATGCGGGACTGAAAGCGTTTGTTAATAAATTGATTAGAAGTTTAATAGTTCCCCCAAGCAACCGTGTTATGAGAAGCTAAATATAGCTTTTGATTAAAAACTAATGCCAGCTATTTTTATCTTGGAGAGGATTTCTACTTAATTTCATATTAATTTTACGCACACTCAATTTCTGCCAAGCCTAAAAGTTTACATAGATGTTTGACATGTATCATAGAATATTTTTTAGATAGCCAAGGTGTAAAGGACCACCTACTGTGGAGATCTAGTGAACTGTCAAAGAATTTGGAAAAAGCGACGCTTTGGAGGACCACTTACCTTGACAGTATTGTCAATGTTTTCAGATTGTGCGTGTTTTAATGCGGGCTTAAAGAAGCGGCTCAAAGCAGGGTGAAAAAGCGGTTAATCACTGAGCTCGAGGAATTTAAGGCGTATAGCGGGAATGTCAATGATAGCGAGAAGATGCGGGCGGTACTTAACTTTGTACTCTTGATACTAATATTAATGGTTGCACTTAGTGGTTACCGCTCATGCGCAACCGCCAGTGAAAACTTCTAAGCGCATAATGCGCGAGAAAACTAAATGAAAGGAAAGAAAAGAAATTAATTGAACAAATTATGAATCTCAACAACAGCAGTAAAATGTATTAGAGATATTTGGGAATATATGAATTATAAACCAGATGTACGCTTCTTTACAAAAAGTTAACGATTCCAAAAAATATTTTAATAAGAAGCCAAAAATTGAAAATACAGCGATTGGCACCCGGCGCGGATGAAGATGGCATCATCCCTCCAAATATTAATAGCAATGAAAATATGATAACTCCATCTATTATTTTATTTAAACACTAAAAAAGGCAAATACACACAATATGTACATTTTGTATTGCTTCGTGTTCTATGGCTAATACCCCAAGCTTGTAAAGTCGTTTGGGGTCATTATTGCCTGCAAGTAGTTTTTCTTACTACTTTTTTAACTTATGAAAATGCCTTTCGCATGAAGTTACTGTCACGGGAATTGTCATAATTAGCTCTAGTGCTAGCATAACTTTGGAAGGGGTTCTGTAAAATCCCACTGCACAATGAATTTCGAACAGTCTAGAAATAGCCAATCAGAAGCTGAAAAATGTTTCGCCTCTGAATGGCTTTCCAGCCTTAATGTCTCCGATAATAATCCTATTTCTGATACTTTCACTAAGAGTCAGTGAGTTTTGATATCCTTAGTTTAAGTTCTGAAGTGCAAATGCAAAGGATTCGTTCTGATAGTCCCAAATACTGAGAACACCCTAGGGATCTCGTTTGTAGTTCAACTCCACATTGGACATAGTATCCTTTACCTGATCTGAAATATATGCTATACTTATACGGTGTTTCTGTCAAGTTTGACGACACCGAGTTCAATCCTTCGAACTTGGTGAGAAAAGAGCCATGAATCAAGCTAACCTCGTAACCGTTCTAAAAGCAATGTTCTAGTTGCTTGGAGTTTTCAAGATATATTTTCCACTTTTTGTAAAACACTTCGCTTTTAAAATAACTGACTTAAAGCTCATTTATTTTACAAAAGACGTAAATAAGTAAGTAAAATTGATGATTATGGATAACGGTATCGATTTAGTTTTTTTTTTCTTGATTTATTTTTTTTCCGTGGTTGAATTAATTAATGACACCCTTAATAGGTGACGCCAGGTGCGTACAAGCCCCTCTGCCCGCGCTTTGCTACGCCACTGAATACAACTTAGCTATGAACCGCTCACTAGATGTGTGTTCTCGAGAAACACTAACATGGATACATACAGACATAGCATTCAAATATTTGTCACACATTTAGCCAAATATCTGAACATGATGAACTTAGATCTATCTATAAGTGGCTTTTGTTTCTTATCGAAAGACTTGGAAGAGATACCAAGAGCTCGTTGGGTATTTTGTCAATAATAATTTTCCAGTACAATAAACTGGTGTTCGTGAGGGTCATAGTACGGCTACTGCATTACTACACCTTGCACATCAGATATTTCACAACCTTGATGAAAAATCCGGTACGCTTTTCGTCATGCTTGATTTTTCGAAGGCTTTCGATACCGTCAATCAGAAGATCCTTCTGAGTAAGCTAAAGTATTATGGCATATCAGAAGTTCCTTTGAATTTCTTCAGATACTACCTAACTGATCGCATACAAAAAGTTCAAACATCTAGAGGAACTTCTGTTGCACAATATGTTTCATCGGGTGTCCTCAGGGTTCAGTACTGCGAACTCTTTTATTCCTAGTATACACGTTTGATCTGCAAATGTATGCTCACGATACATAATTAACATTTCATTTTAAGGTGTCCAATTAACATGAAGCATCGTATAAAATTAACCTGGATCTATATAACGTATTACAGTATTGTAATAGGCCTCCGCGTCAATCCATCAAAATGTGCGGCTGTACCATACTGTCCTAAATATTGCAATTACAATATAACCAATCGAGTCTCCTTATTTATCAACGACGCTAATATTCCATTTTTTGATAATTTTAAGAATCTAGCTGTTACATTTGATTCAAATCTTAGATCTAAAGTACATGTGAATAGTATCATGTCGGGTTATATGAAGATGAAGGTCTTATATTCTAATGACCATATTCTAAACTTTAAGTGCGGTGAAAAGTTGTGTGAAAGCATATTGTCAATTTTAGATTACTCTCCAGTCCTCATTTACCCATGTCAAGACTCGGTTTGCAAGTAAAAACTGCAGAAGCTTCAGAACAACTGCTGCAGATTCATATTTGGTCTTAGGAAAAACTCGTATAGTTGAGTTTCTTCAAAAATCAAGGAGTTACAGTGGCTCAGAATTGATAGTTTATTCAATGGTTACATGGTTTCGTTGATGCATGGAATATTTGGTAAACCAGTTTATTTACTCGGCAAGTTGATTCCTCGTGGAAACCAAATTACTCTTAATCTGCGGCACAATAATCTTCTTTCCTATACATCGTACGTCATTTTTTGAACGGTTTACTTATATTGCGGTCAAGGTATATAATTGTTAACCAGCTAACTATAAGACCGTAAGCTTGCCGAGCTTCAATGAGACAGTCAAGTTGCACTTACAGTTTTCTGAATGACATGTTCTATTGCTTCTATTCTTTCTATATGTTGATATTCTATATTAACTTATTTTTAATGCACTCCTTACAGTTGTCCGATTTATGCTGTTATCTTAGTGCTTTGTGATGACGGCTTATAGTATGGTTGAGTGGTAGAGTAGCCATGGCTAAACTTAGCAACACTATGATCATTTTTTGAATGAAGGCATTATTATGATTATTTCTATAATCTTATGTTATAACCTTGATACCATAAAATAAATTCAACTGATTCAACTTACAGGAAAGCTCATCGTCCGGGTCGGTTTCGCAGCAACTCCCTACCGTGACACCAAACTCCTCTTCCTCTTGCCTCTCAATCTCCAGCAATAGAGGTCCATTAGCGTACTTCACGGATTCCATCACACTCACATCGAATTCGATCGTTAGGATATTAATACCCCTGGCCCCATCCTTAGTGCAATCCTTCAGGATCTGTTGGGCTTCCAGTAAAGTCTTATTGATGAGCGAATGATGATCTACTTTGAGGAGTCGGTCGCCGACACGAATGAGGCTAGTTCTAGAAAAGTGAATAAACAGTCGATTAAGAAATAATACTTGTCCTCGTAAAGCTAACCTATGTGCATCTATATATATATATATATATATATATATATATATATCCTTTAATTTCTTTGGGTAGAAGGCAAAGTATTGCAAAAGTATAACTTAAAATCTCAAGCTTGTGAAGAATTTTTTCTTCATCGTCTGGAGTAAGTCGGCGAGATTGTTGCTGAAATTGTTTTTTAAACAACAGTGAAGGGAACACATAGTCGACGAATAAAAAACTGGACCGATGAGGTTCGATTAGGACGGAATTATTTCATTGGTAAATGGCAAAGGATTTTGAAAGGTTTTAATTAAAATTAGGCGTTGATTGATTTTGGAAGAAATTTTGAGATTTTGAAACTATCAACTATTGAAAATTCCCCCGAGATTTCATCTTTTTTTCCACTGATAACCTCTACATTATCCAACACGTGCCGGCCGACTAACCTCGGGTATTCCCTGTTGTTTAAGAAAAAATTTCAGCAACAATCTCGCCGAATTACTCCACACGATGAAGAAAAAATTCTTCCAAAGCTTGAGATTTTAAGTTATAAGAGTGTACTTTTGCAATACTTTGACTTCTACCCAAAGAAATTAAAGGCAATTAACTATGTATACTATATATATATATATATATATATATATATATATGTAACAACAAAGAATTCGCCTGGGTTTGATGGCCTCCACCCAGACACTTTGAAACAAATAGTGATGAAAATACTGTACCTACAACTTATCTTATAATTATTTGTTTTGAAAAAGGAGTATTTTCAAATATTTTGAAACTTGGGCTGATCAAATATTTACATAAAAGTGGTTCAAAAGCAGATATAAACAATTACAGGCTTATATCCTTGATTTCATACATACATGTAGAAAATTATTGAAAAAATTATTAAAATCCGCTTAACAATATTTTTCAATAAGTATATGACATCATTTAGAAACATCAGTATGGATTCAGAGAGGAGACGTCAACAGAGATACGATATTGGAACTCATATCTCATATATACTAAGTGACATATAAATCCGAACACCCAGTTTAAATGGTTTTATTTTAATAAAATCTTGTATAAGTACTTAATGAAGCATAATAAGTAAATGATAAAAATTTCAAAATGATTGCACTGCTTTAAAGCCCTTTGACCTTTAATAATGTGTGGATGCACCCTGATGTGCTACGCATTCTCCAACGCGCCTAGGCATGCTTCTGATCAGGTGGTCAATGTCCTCCTATGGTATCTCATTCCAGGCAACCACCAACTCCTCTCGAAGTGCTTCTAGAGTCTGAGGAGGACGTTGCAAATTGAGCAATCTCCTACCCATCATATCCCACACGTGCTCAATTGGGGATAAGTCGGGAGATCTTGGTGGCCATGGTAACAATGTGACATCATTATGTTGAAAGAAGTCTATTGTGACTCTTGCAACATGTGGTCGGGCATTATCTTGTTGGAAAGTTGGATCTGCCAGGATGTCAAGATAGGGTAAAAGATGGGGTTCTAGAACTTCGTGGATATAACGCTGCGCGTTCATGTTACCTCTGATGAAGATTAAAGGTGACCTGGAACCATAAGCTATAGCACCCCAAACCATAACTCCAACAGTGTGATGAACATGTCTTTCAACAAAAAACTGTGGATTCCTCCTTTCACCACGTCGCCTTCTAACCCTGGCACGACCATCGTGCATGCCTAAACAAAATCAAGACTCGTCACTAAAGACAATACTGTTCCATTCCTGATCCCAGAGTGACCGTTGTCTGCACCACTATACGGCCCCTATCAAACTCACTAAGTTGACGAAATCGTACAGGTCTCCGTACTCTAGGCATCGTAACCGATCGTAAAGGAAGTCAAGAACCAAAATCCGCCAACGTTGATTCTTTACTGCGGCTGAAATATTCATTTTTAGAGCTTTAGTGAATTCAAAAAAAGCAGTATAAAAACCGGAATGTCCAACTGATAAGGCTGAAAATTTTTTCACTTGTTATTTACAGTAAGATAAATACATTCACCAACTTTTATTAAAATAAAACCATTTAAACTGGGTGTTCGGATTTATATGTCACTTAGTATATGTATTTCACGCATTAGATAAAAAATACCAGCTCTGTCCATTTTCCTTGACTTATCCAAGGCATTTGATAGAGATTGTCATAGTAAGCTAATAGCCAAACTAGAAGTTGATGGAATAAGAGGAAAAGGTAAAGATTTGTTAACAAGTTATTTGACAGACCGGAAACAAGCTGTTGGTGTGAATGGTGTTTGTGGAGTTCCGCAGGGCACAGTCTGTGGGGCGCTGTTATTCGCGGCTTAGATAGACAGTCTCCTTAGAAAAATAGTCAAAGTCATATACTCGTAATAAGCTTTGCAGATGACACCATTGTATTTTATACATCAGACTCATGGAATTCAAAAAATTAACAATAAGTTGTGATAAAACAAAATATATGACATTTACATCTTACTCTAATAGTCTTGGTGTCATAGTGAACAAGCACTTGAGATGGAATTCACACACTTCATATATTTGCAAAAAGGCCTGATTCCAAGGTTCAGGCTTCTGAAAGGTTTCCTAAACATATACGACTTGATACTGTACACAGCATTGGTCCAATCACAGCTGACTTATGGAATCCTCGGATGCGGCTGATCATTCTTGATATACGGCAAACCTACTGATTAATTATACTAAAGAGTATCCATGCAGGCAAAATTAAATTGCAAAGTATTTCGCATGTTTATCAAATACATCACAAAGGACGTTGTCATGGGTTCCCTCGACGAAATTAATCTGTAGGACAGAGGCACTTTTTCATCTTGCACCAAAATTAAAAATATGCTTCCTCTAAATCTTAGAAATTTCAGAATATCAGTATCGAGATTCAAGACTCAAATAAATAAATGGATGGTGGATAGTGGAAAATAGCTTTTCAATAACTTAGTGAATAATACTTTAAAAATGTCTTAGTAAGTATAGGTCTTGAGTAGACACGTAGTGATTACTTGTGTGCTATTTGAATTGATTTTAGTTTTTAAGTGTACACACATATGGATGTCACAAATAAATACAATTATTATTATATTGTTTTTAACCAGAGATGTGCCTCGGCATCTGTATCAAGGTCCGCACAACAAAAGGCCTGAGCATTAAATAGCTGCACATGAACATAGTATGAAGAACGTCACTACGAATATATATTTTTTTCTACAAAATGAATTACAGTGGCAAGATTTTGTGAAACCAGAATATTCAGTTTTCCCGGCACGGATTTTTAAAAAAATATTCTTTGCATTTTTCTTGTGCTTTGGAAGTTCTGAGAAATGACTTTCAGCGCCTTAGATGTGCCCAATAAGCTAACATGCAGTTTGTTTTGATCCGTAATTACCTAGTCAGTAATCAGAATGCAAGTGAGTAACTACAATTCGATTAAGCTTAAGACTCAAGTTTGACATTTCGCATTAAATTCGTATTTTTCTGCGAAAACGTAATATAAAAGTGTTCTGAAAAATTGCCGAAAATGATGCGTGTTTTTGTGGATTGCAAAAAATTCGTACCTACTTAAAAATTGACTCAGGCCTTCAACATATTATAACAATTATTATTTTAAAAGTTCCCATCCATACTTTCTATTGGAAGCAACATGTTAAAATTACCATTTTTTCAAATTTCCACATATGAGCAGAAGAGTACCGTGGAAACCACAGATTTCTATATCTCATAAATGATGACTTACTTAGGAGACAAAAATGCCTTCAATGACTTATACAGATAATCGTATTTTGTAATATTTTTGTATTTTTGTGGTATCATTTTCCCTTCTCAAGAAATACGCCAAAACGTGATATTTTTGACATTTAATTCCAAATGAAACTAGATTGCGCTATAGGGATGTATAAGGACTTTTATTATATTACTCATGCGGTATGTATCAATTTTCAGCTTTGTGTAATTTTTCTGTAAACTCGCAATGCTTTTGCTGTTTTGTCTGGCTTGATAAGATTATTGAACTGAATCATAATGTTAGCTACATGCACTGTAATTGTGGTTTGTATCAATATGGAAAAATGGTAGGTACTGCTGTTAGTTAGTTGGACTTTTCGAATGTATACCCACCTGTGAGCTGATCCATTCTTCCGAATTTGCGTAATTATTAGCGGCCTGCTCAAGTGGGGGTTATCTGGAACCAAACCGCCTCGTAATGTTATTCCTAATGATCCATCTATCCTTTCGACGCTCACATCGGTGCATTTTGAACTCACGCATAAAGAATTTTGTGAACCTGGAAAGTAGTATGCATTAATTACTTATGTGAAATCTAACTGGAACAAAATATATCAAAATGCTAAAATACTTTCGTAGGAGGGATGTCTTTTAAGTTTTGCATATAGAAAGATAGTAGGCCGTGCGGATCGAACGTCAGCACTGAATCTTAACCTCACTCTTTAGTAAACTTAAATTCAAAGTTTCACAACAATACGTGCAGTGTTCTCACTACAGTGAATTTTTAAGTGTCACCAAGTCATTTGAAAAATGGAACTCAACCGAGAACATTTTCGCGCCCTAATTTATTACAACTTTCAGAGACAATTATCGCAACAAGAATGCCTTGCTGAGTTACTGTCTGTTTTCGGCAATGAAGCATCACATCAGTCGACAATTTCCCGTTAGTATAGAGAATTCAAACGTGGATGGGTGAGTCTTAGCGACGATTCCAGGGTGGCTGCACCAAAAACGGTCACCCAGGAAAACGTCGATGCTGTGCGCAAACTCATCATTGAAGATAGACATGTGACATATCGCAAGATTGAGGCGTCCTTGAAGAGCTCAAAGATCTCAATTCAAAAAAATTTACATGAAGAATTAGGAGTAAGAAAATTAGTTTCTCGCTAGATACCCCACTTGTTGACTGTTATGAACCAGAAAATAAACGGCAGTCGGCTGTTTGGGTGTTCCAAGTTGAAGAAAAGCAAACAAAAGTGATCCGTTCTCGAAGTGTTTCGAAAAAGATGGTCGCGACATTTGTGTCAAAAGCGGGTCATATTGCAACAATTCCTCTTAATGAGCAAAGAACTGTTACTGCGGATTGGTATACCACCATTTGTTTGCCAAAAGTCGTCACCAAGACAATGCAAGCTCGCACACAGCCAAAAAAACAAGGCAGTATTTAACGGAAGAAAACGTGGAATTATTGGACCTTCCTCCATATAGTCCCGATCTAAGTCCTAACGATTTCTTTACTTTCCCGAAAATTAAAAACAGACTGCGTGGTCAAAGGTTCCAGTCACCAGAAGAAGTAGTAGTAGTAGTAGTAGTTGACGCATTCAAAAATGCCTTTTTGGATCTGCCAGCAAACGAGTGCAATAAGTGCTTCGAAAATTGGTTCGAGCGCATGCAGATGTGTATTGATCGTGGAGAATAGTTCGAAAAACAATAAAGTCATTTAAAACTACATACCGTGTTTTTTTCTTTCCATATGCAAAACTTAAAAGACATCCCCCGTACTTTGTCATCATTAGCGGATTTAGAGGGGGTCTGGTCGCCCTTAGACGCCCAAACTTGCCATTTTTTTTTTCAATAAAATGGTACATTGCTGTACCTTGGTGCGAAAATTACCTTGCCATACTTGAATGGTGGAGGCATGTGCTCAATTTTCAATCGCCGTGATGAACATCCTCCTGAACATGGATCCTTCAACCCACCTCCCCCCTCCCCAAAAAAGATTCCTAAGTCCGTCACTATTTGGCAAGGTTGACATTCGAAATAATCTTGCTACGGTTTTATCAGCGACCCAAGGCAACATATTAAATAACTCCCAAAGTATTTAGACCCTACTTTAAAAGCTCATGAAGTACCTACTATACGCTACGTATAAAATAATTCTGGTAACTTGTCGCAGCATATTTTGGATATATTTTGTGATTGGGGACCGTATCGCAGGTATATATGTCGGCGTCAAACGCCGAAATCCGTCATTCCCTGAAATGCCTAGTCAGTCCCCGTATTGCCGACAAACACCGTAACATTTTGATTATTACAACGTTTGACTCCGTTTCAGTCATTCTCTGTAATGACTGAACAATTTCAGTCAAACACTGCAACAACCACATTAACGTCGTTACTGCATTTGCCTGACTCAGTCTTGCATTGTACCAGTTTTGTGTTCATTTGCTTGAGTATACACATAGTCTTTTCTGTTCTACGAAAAAGCAGTGTTTATCCAATATGTAGATGTGTTTGTTAAAAAAACTGCTTTGTAATTCAATGCGCTAAAAAATAACGTTTTATGTATATAATAACCTTTATTCGTTTGTCACTACTCGCAATTCTGCATTTTTCTTTTTTTTTAATGTGTATTTATTGTTTTATATTTCTTTCGATAGTTTCAGGATACTTCTTGTTGATTTAATACATTAATGATTAATGTCCACAATAATGTAATAATAAAAACAACATCTAATCTATTCTTCTTTCCTTTTAGATTAATTCATACTTGAACATTTTTCTTTTAATGTTATTGAAAAAGTAGTACCTTGTTATATTATGTATTTCATTTTAGCAACACTGTATTGATTACAGCGTTTGACTAAAATAGGCGAATGTAGTAACAAGGTTAATGTGGTTGTTACGGTGTTTGACTGAAAATTTCGACATTTGTCGCCGACATATACAATGTGTTTGTTCACGACATACCGATATTTAAGAGGGGTATTTTTCAGCTATTTTTATCGACAAATCCACCCCCCTACAATGTCATACCTCATCCCCCTTGAAATGGCAGCCATTCTTATTCTTACGTTACGATTACTGTAGTGCATGTATGAAAATTGTAATAACTGAGTACGTAAGTATAACGGAATGATAAATTTGGTGTCATTTGAACGATGACATGTTGCCCTAGCGATTATTGAAAAACTTGTTTTGATACTAACCGTCAAACTTAAAAACAGACAAAAACAGAAAAAATACGGAAGAAAATTGATTCTTTTGTGCATTTCCGCACATCATTCAAAAACTAGTCTATGAAGTTGTACTTTTTTGTGCTGAATAGCTGAAAAATATCCTCCTCAAATATCGGTATTTCGTGACAAACACATTGTATATCGTGACAATAAGGTGTAAAATGAAAAATGACCGCAAAACAGATTGTTTTAGAACATAAAATGCATTTTTTTGAACAATATTATGAAAACACACACATCCTTTTTTACGAGTGCTTACAATTGTACAACTTGCGGCGTTTGTGTTGCATGGCCCCGATCTCTAGCAGCTCCGTAATACGACGCATTCCCAATCCCTCTCGATTTGGCCTTAATCCAATTAGGCGCTCTCGTCATGTTTCACTCATTAACCTGTGGGAACCCGCAACACTAAAATGCGGATCCGCTGGTCCCAGAAATCGAAAATTAGTGAGAAATATTTCGGGTAAGAACGCCAAAAATCCGCAAAGGAATTTTACTTCACAGAACTTAGTGTTATTAAGAAGAATTTTGAGATGGAGGTATCCGCATTTGTCGCTGGTGTGTGTGTGGACCTTTGTCCAGACCAGGAGTTCCCAACCAGGGGGGCGCGCCTCTCAAGGGGGGCATAGAGAGATGTCAAGGGGGGCAGAAAGCGTTTGCATTTTAGAAAGAAAAAACAAAATAATAAACAAACAACATTAACAGATACCATAACAATATAATGTTTAATTTACCCGCATAAAATTAGAAATTAAATATCATATTCACTTATTCTGTCAACCGCTGTTTCAAGACCCGGCGTCGTCAATCGCAGTTTATACAAGTTTCGACAAGTCACTGTAACATTCATTCTCACAAACTTGCGAAAAATTTGACGTTTCGATGTACATGTTTTGTTGAGAAATCTGTGTGAGTTTGTCAAATTATTGTGTCTCACTGTTAAAAGGTAAGTTTGTGTATTCACAAACTTCAGTTACCATTTTTATTTAATTTACTATTTACTAATTGTTGATTGAGCGGAAACGCGTTCATAGATCGGCCATTGGGACTTTTTTACCACATCACAATCAAACCAACGTGGCGAAATAATTTTGAGATGACGAACTTTAAGTAGCTAATATTGATTCCATCCTGCCTACAAAAATATAAAGCCTCCGGTGGCCAATATACTGTTGAATACATTACGTTATTAAGATAAAATAATGAGCATATAATTAGTAATTACATGTAGGTATTTTGCTTATTTATGTATTACTTATTTGTTTTATTGTTATAGGTGCAAAATAGCAGCGAAAAAAAGAAAGTTTTCCGAGTATTACGTTAAGTTTGGATTTACCTTCATAGAAAAAGACGAGTTACAATTGCCTTAGTGTGTGATATGTATGAAAGTTTTAAGTAATGATAGCATGAGACCCAATAGCCTTGAAAGGCATTTGAAGCATCATTATCGTACTCTGGTTTTGAAGACGAAAGAGTTTTTTCTTTTAAAGCAGAATCACTCAAGCGGATGAGACTGGATAAATCGGGAAGTTATCACACAGGTTTATCGCAGCATCTCAAAGCTTTATTTGAAATAGCTTTTATGATAGCAAAGCAAAAGAAACCTCATACTATCGGTGAAGAATTAATAAAACCATGTGTCCTAAAAGCCAGATAATTTTAGGAGAAGATGCAGAGCAAAAAATGAAGTCTATTCTCTTTCGAATAACACAGTCAAGCATAGAATCGATGACATTGCAGCAGTCATAAAGTCACAAATAATTAACAAAGTAAAATTATCGCCATTTTTGCCATTAGATGCGATGAATCCACCTACATCGTTAATTGTGCACAGTTAATAGTTTATGTTCGTTACATCGGCGGAGATATCATTCAAGAAGAGATTTTGTACTCCCAATCTTTGACAGCAGGTACTACATCTGAAGAAATATTTGATTCAACATCAAATTTTGTTGAAAAAAATGATTTGGATTGGAATAAACTCATTGAACTTTGCACAGATGACGCACTTGCAGTGATAGGTGTACGACCGGGCTTAGCTAAAAAGCACAGGGGAAAAAGTCCCGCAATGGTTAGTACAGGTTTTGTTTGTTATTCATCGCCAAGCTTTGGCTTTCAAAACATTGCCACAGAAATTCGCCAGACTTTGGACTCGGCTATAAGGATTGTAAACTACATCAAGAGCAGCGCTTTGAACAGTAGGTTATTAAATTTACTTTGTGAGGATCTCGATTCTAAACACAAAGTTCTTCTATTCCATACAGAAATACGCTGACTGTCCAAAGGCAACATGTTGGCTCGTCTTTATGAATTGAAAGAAGAGGTAATTCTTCTTCTTGAGTTCAAAGAAAAGCACGATTCCTTGACAATGTTCAAAGGTGGCACATTTCAATGGAGGTTGACTTATTTAACTGACATACTTGACTCCTTGAATGAGCTAAACTTGAAACTTCAGGGCAGAAACAACACTATAATAAGCAATTATGATTATATCCAGGGGTTCATATGATAGCTTCAACTTTGGAATCAAAAAGTGTCTTCTGAAAATGTTATATCTTTTCTCGGCTGTTCAAAGCAATTAAAAATAACATACTGGACACAAATTCAAAAGCTGACATAAAAACTCATTTGCAAGCGCTGGAAGACGAATTTCGCCCATACTATCGAGACATCAATACCACATGACAAGAAGTCCATTTGTTGTCGATATGTTACAATTACCAGAAGAAGTTCAGGATGAATTTCTAGAAATGGAGGCTGATTCGTCCATGAACGATGACTTCCATCTTTTAACATTGGAGAAATGTTGGATCAAAAGATTGCACGTTAATTCGACACTTGCTTCTCTTGCTCTACGAATACTAGTTCCTTTTTCTTAAACTTACTTATGTGTGCTTTTCCGCTCTAGTTTTAATTAAAACTAAATAGTGTGAAATCGTCTTGATGTCGATAGCGACCTGATGATAGCTCTGACAAAAACAGAACCTAGAATCAACCAACTGGTACAGAAAATGCAACCTCAAGTGTCTCATTAGTACCTACTCTTATTTTTTCAATAAAAAACATTTATTAGTTTATTTAAACTTCTAAAGTTTCTTTATTAGAATTAAAATAAAAGTCTTTGTACCTATATAATGTGCGTTTTTTTTGTATTTATTGAGGGGGGGGGCATGGAAATATAATCTATAGCCCGGGGAGCCTCAACAAAAACAAAGGTTGGGAAACCCTGGTCTAGACTATAGGTTTGAACATACTATTGGTTTATTTGATGTTACTGATCGGTAGTCTATAGACCTTACATGGCGTGCACGTCACGGCCATATCAGTCATTTCTGGTCGTTTCCATTCTGATTGACCCCCCCTATAACCCGGTAAGTTCCCATCGGATTTTCAGATCTTTGACTTTAACTCATGGTTACTACCATGCCAAGGTCGAAAACGCCTTGTAGATTTTTAAAATCAGTCTAGTAACGGCGATGTTTTGATAGGAACTTGACCAGTCATTCTTGTCTGATCTTGTAGCGCTGCTGATGAGAAATTTGCATACATATACTAAGTTACATATAAATCCGAACACCCAGTTTAAATGCTTTTATTTTAATAAAATTTTGTATAAGTACTTAATGAAGCATAATAAGTAAATGATAAAAATTTCAAAATGATTGCACTGCTTTAAAGCCCTTTGACCTTTAATAATGTATGGATGCACCCTGATGTGCTACGCATTCTCCAACGCGCCTAGGCATGCTTCTGATCAGGTGGTCAATGTCCTCCTGTGGTATCTCATTCCAGGCAACCACCAACTCCTCTCGAAGTACTTCTAGAGTCTGAGGAGGACGTTGCAAATTGAGCAATCTCCTACCCATCATATCCCACACGTGCTCAATTGGGAATAAGTCTAGAGATCTTGGTGGCCATGGTAACAATGTGACATCATTATGTTGAAAGAAGTCTATTGTGACTCTTGCAACATGTGGTCGGGCATTATCTTGTTGGAAAGTTCGATCTGCCAGGGTATCAAGATAGGGTAAAAGATGGGGTTCTAGAACTTCGTGGATATAACGCTGCGCGTTCATGTTACCTCTGATGAAGATTGAAGGTGAACTGGAACCATAAGCTATAGCACCCCAAACCATAACTCCAACAGTGTGATGAACATGTCTTTCAACAAAAAACTGTGGATTCCTCCTTTCACCACGTCGCCTTCTAACCCTGGCACGACCATCGTGCATGCCTAAACAAAATCGAGACTCGTCACTAAAGACAATACTGTTGCATTCCTGATCCCAGAGTGACCGTTGTCTGCACCACTCAAGGCGATTACGTCGGTGTTCTCGAGTTAAAGGGAGGACCCAGTGTGGCCGGTATGAAAACAAGCTAAAACTTCTCATTCGTCGGTAAACACTTCGCATGCCAATAGGTCTTCCGTGTTCTGCAAACCATTCATTTGCAATGGACCTGGTAGTGGAGAAACGGTCCCTTAAGGCCAATAATCTTAGGCGGCGATCTTCACGGTCTGTTGTGCTACGGCGGCGTCCAGTGCCCCTTGCTCTTTGCGTACGGCCTTCTCGAAGCCATGCCTGACGACACCTAACCACAGTGTCTACACTTCTTTGCACTCTAACTGCAATTGCCCGAAAAGAAAGTCCAGCTTCCCGAAGTCCCACTATACGGCCCCTATCAAGCTCACTAAGTTGATGAAATCGTACAGGTCTCCGTACTCTAGGCATAGTAACCGATCGTAAAGGATGTCAAGAACCAAAATCCGCCAACGTTGATTCTTTACTGCGGCTGAAATATTCATTTTTAGAGCGTTAGTGAATTAAAAAAAAGCAGTATAGAAACCGGAATGTCCAACTCATAAGGCTGAAATTTTTTTCACTTGTTATTTACAGTAAGATAAATACATTCACCAACTTTTATTAAAATAAAACCATTTAAACTGGGTGTTCGGATTTATATGTCACTTAGTATACATTGCTTCTCAAGAAGACTTCCGTAATTATTTGTTAAATAAGTGTAGTTAGGGAGCTGAAACGACGTAATGAAAATGATGGACGAATACTATATTTTAGCGTGACAGTGGCAGTTTGAAATGTCAAGATAGCGACTGGAACCCTTTTTGCTATATTTTTGAGTAGAATGAAGAGACATTTCGAAGCTTCTTGTGAGTACATGTCCAATATAAAATAAATATATTTCAAAATAACCATCTGACAGGCTGTCAAATTTGAACGTTTTTATACATTTTATCGCTCATAACTCAACAACCAATCAACAAAAAGCAAAAAAGTCAAAGTTCGTATTTTTTTTTCAAGTAGAATATTTTGTATTTTATTGCATATTCAGATAGATCCTTCCAAAAGAAAAATATTGATATAACATACGACAACGTTTTCATGATTAATTGTTGTATTATAACAAATTCAATGTACAAAAAATGCTCAACTTTTGACAGCCTGCTAGTTCGTCTTTTTGAAATGTAGTGACTTTAGATTGCAGTGTTGTGAAGTACTCGTCAAGATCTTCACAATTAGATATCACACAACTCCGTATTCCATTTAAAAAAATGTTAAAAATCGCTCGCCATCTTAAAATTTTTGTTCCTTGTAGATCTTTCTGGAAAGCAATGATAACTGAACGATATGCTGCAATATATTACTCGTACAATTATTTATCAGTATAGAAATTTCAGTACATACCATAATTTGACAAAAAATAGTCGCTTTCCAACATTGCATCGCTTTCTGTATCGCACGGCAATTTGGTGATAATGTCTTCAGCTCTCATCATAGATGTACCCATCTCGCTGGATGCGATGTGGTAGTCTCTGAAGATGTTTGCCTTTCAGTAATCTCTGCTTCATAGATGAGGATCTGGAATTTAAATTAAAGCAGTTAATAACAAAAAAACGCCGTTATCAGTTCGTGAAGGATTATGACCCTTCGAGAAAAAGGTCAGTCAAACAGGTCTATGCAATTAGTCCATAGACATTCTTTCCCTGCCCTACCGGTAGTGTATCTGGAAACGTTACATCTCCCCGGTCAGACGTGGCAGCGCAGTGTGTGAAATATATCTATTAGGTGCATAGACTTACCAAGGTTGGGAGCCAATAAATGTACTATCATCACAAAGTTGAGATAACCCTCCCCACCCTCCTACAACCCCCACCCCCAAGTTTTTTATCTCTACATTTTTTTAAACGTTGTCTGTAACATCCAAAAAACATATCTCCTTTTCGAAAATTTTCGCGAACACAATACTTCTCCGCCAGTATGCGTGGTAAGTAAAACATCAAAACATCCACAGATCTAGTTTTTTATTTATCAAGTCTTCGATCAGTTTTAACGTAGGCAAAATATCCTTCCTTGGAGGTCAACTCGGAGTTGTTTTTTAATAGTTTGTCCTTAAGTTTCTGGTCGTTTCAGATAAAGTAACAGACATTTCTGGTGTGCCAATATCCATATTAAGAAGCTTCATTTTTTCATGTTACAGATTCCTTTAGTTATGATAGCAGAGAAACTTAGATACACAGATATCAAAAACTCTTCAACTCATCTTTTGTTGCTTTCAAGACATTCAGAGTATGTTTTCTGTGTGTTCATAATTTATGAATGCGTAAGACCTAGAACACTTTGAAAATAAATACAGATCGCTGTAAATATCGTCCTAACCACAGACTATGTTGACGTTTTCTCCACACAAATCTACACAAAGAAACACTGCGAAGGAAGAGCGTACTATTATTCTCTTCCATTCTGGTGCTTTAATGAACAGTAAGAATCATCATGAAGCTTTGTACAGTGAACACGGTATTGATTCTATCAAAATAGAAAGTGGCTATAAAATTCCAATCCCATGTCCAAAGGTCTGGTCTCCGTCAATATAGGTAGATAGATAGATGGATACTTTATTTGTCCACAAGTTATTTTCTCAGTTGGTTTTTTAAATGACAGATATTGGTTGATCTTCGGAGATCAGTTGGTAGACTATTACATATTTTGGTGCAGATGATGAGGAACGACTTTTAAAATAGAGTAGTGCTATGATATGGAAATCATAAAAGCAGATTGATCCTTTTAAAAGTTTCTTTACAAAGTCTCTTCAGTTAATATTGAAAATAAACCGAATAACTCTTTTCTGCAGCATGACATCTCTTCTTATCATACTTGCTTGTCCCCATAACATTGCATTGCTACTAATATGTGGATATACTAGAGCATACTAGATGATTGAAAGTATCTATGTGGTAACATTGTTTTAATTTCAATATCACAAAATATGACGAATTGATTTTCTTGCAAACGTGATTTATGTGTTCCAACCAAGTTACACTTTCATCCATATGCTACCAAGAAAAACGGCCTTATCCAAGAAAAGATCATGTTGTATGCGTGGCCTACCATACTGTTATTTATTATACTGTTCTGTTGTTATTCAGTATAAGACGGTTTTTCTGGCTCCACTCATTCATTTCATTTGACACGCTCTCCACTGCAGATATTAGTTGACCAGGTGTTGCGGTGCTCATAACTACAGATGTGCCATTTGCGTATTGGATATTATGACAAAATAGTTTCAAGTCATTAATATATACAATGAAGGGTATTGGTGCCAGGACCGATCTTTGTGCACCTCTTAAATAAACATCGTATGAGGCTGAGCAGCGGCCATTGACTTCTATCACGAGTTTCCTATTTGAGAGGAACGAGGCAATAAATTTCAGCAGAAAGTTTGTGGATCCGATTTATTCAGCTTATGCTCGACAAAAGATATATGCATAATATCAAAAAAATCGGAATATACTCCTGCAACACATCTGTCAAAATCGCAGTTAATAAAACCAACCACCCTATAGAGTAACTAACTTGAGACCTGAACCCGTACTAAGATTTATATCAGTTTTGTATCTTAGGTTCCTTGAAGATTATTATTTAACAAAGTATTGGAAGTCAAAGTACATATATGTAATTCAGTATGATCTAGCTAAAAAGCACAATGAAGTGCAAACCTTAATCCAACTTGAAATAACAAAGCCGGATCTTTAAATCGCACTTCAGTCGCTTCCTATATTTGTTCTAAGAGTGGACTATTATGGTAGATTAATTAATACAAGCGGATATTAACTCATGCGTCATTTAATAGACGCTTAACTACCATCTCAACCTCGCAGTTACTGACCTTAAAAAGACTAATGCGAAACGGCCAAGGCAAAAATTATGTCTTTTTGCCACGAGATGGTATAAACACATGTGGATATTCTCGAAGCAAATGATGATTAGAGATGGCCGATATCGTTATTTTTGAATATCTGTGATATCTGTATTGTTACTTTTTAATTATCAGTTATTTGAAATCGTAATGTGACCAAGGCTTTCGAATAACGATCAGATTGTAGGTATACTGATATCCTTGTTGAATATCAAATTCAAGCTTTAAAAAACCAAATTGTATATCCATAATACCTCTGTATGTTGATGGAAGATTCCTACTGACATTTTGTGTTGTGTGACTGACTTATTTTAGCCGTTTGCTCGCTATGTTCGCTGTCAGGCTCCATCTATGGAGGAATGACTCAACTACACGCATTGTTGGTTGCAGGTATATATGTTGTGAAGCCGAGTAGTATGTAGTGTTTATCTGAGAAGATGTGAAACAAAGAAAGTTGGTGGTTCAGTAGCAAGATCGCATCTGAATGATTGTGTATTGGTCTGCATCTGTATAAAATCAGTGATATTTGCTATGTGAGAAAATTATTATTAAATATGTTACCAATGAAGTATATGTATTAGCTGTGCCCGACGGGTTATTTATATGCTGTCATTTCTGAAGACAGGTTACGTTCAAATTTATAAATTACGATTTCTCCTGTTTTTTTTTTGTTTTCAAAAACTCACGGAAAATGGCCACCGCGTCCGCGTTGTGTGCAATTAAGCCACATCACAGAAAAATCAGGAATGGTATCTAGACGCTGATTTGTATTTTCTATTAACATAGCAAAATAAATTTCTATAAAATGTAATAACCTTTTCACTTTCATAAATATTCCTGTCTATAGCACTTTGTAACCTGTTACTTCACCAACTAAGTATTTTTGTTATCTCTCTCATTTTTGAAATTCAGCAAATTTGCTTATCTAATTTCCAGGTTGAATAAGAGAAAGTGGATGCGCAATTAATTTCAAGTTTTGAATACACCTCAAGCAAGTCTATTTGAGATAAGAAACCAATGGAATTATCATCAAAACATATTATTAGTACACACATCCTCACTATGCCCCTATTCACTGCCGTTTCCTTCCAGCTATAGTCTATAGTATACAGCTTACAGCTTAGACCTCCAATATAGTGCCATAGATCATAGCCAAACATTTATTACTGAAGCCTCATGATGTTTAGGCAACACGTACAACTACAAAACGAGTTTAAAAAGGGTCCATCAGCTAGTGATAAGTTAACATCTTGTCGAAAAATCTCAATAATGTCAAAAAAAACAGTATGACAAAAAATTAATATATCGTCACATTTTAACATACGTAATACCCACATGGGTATCATGTAAAAAACCTATAAAACGTCAAAAAAACCTCTAAGATGTCATCTTACAGACTAGGTAGTTTTTAGGGCGCAAACAGTCATTCCACGTTTGTTCACTAGGATCTAAGGAGGAATCACTCAACTAAACTAAACGCATTATTGGTTGCATACGTTTTGTGAGGCCAAATGGTCCTTGCCTGTAGTTTTTATCTCTGAGGAGAAAGTTGGTTGAATAGCAAAATCACATCTGGATGATTATGTGTATTATTGGTCTGCATGTGTATAAAATCAGTGATATTTGTTGTGTGAGAAAATCATTACTAAATATGCTGCCAATGAAGTATACTAAGTGACATATAAATCCGAATACCTAATTTAAATGGTTTTATTTTAATAAAATTTTGTATAAGTACTTAATGAAGCATAATAAGTAAATGATAAAAATTTCAAAATGATTGCACTGCTTTAAAGCCCTTTGACCTTTAATAATGTGTGGATGCACCCTGAGGTGCTGAGCATTCTCCAACGCGCCTAGGCATGCTTCTGATCAGGTGGTCAATGTCCTCCTGTGGTATCTCATTCCAGGCAACCACCAACTCCTGTCGAAGTGCTTCTAGAGTCTGAGGAGGACGTTGCAAATTGAGCAATCTCCTACCCATCATATCCCACACGTGCTCAATTGGGGATAAGTCGGGAGATCTTGGTGGCCATGGTAACAATGTGACATCATTATGTTGAAAGAAGTCTATTGTGACTCTTGTAACATGTGGTCGGGCATTATCTTGTTGGAAAGTTGGATCTGCCAGGGTGTCAAGATAGGGTAAAAGATGGGGTTATAGAACTTCGTGGATATAACGCTGCGCGTTCATGTTACCTCTGATGAAGATTAAATGTGACCTGGAACCATAAGCTATAGCACCCCAAACCATAACTCCAACAGTGTGATGAACATGTCTTTCAACAAAAGACTGTGGATTCCTCCTTTCACCACGTCGCCTTCTAAACCTGGCACGACCATCGTCACTAAAGACAATACTGTTCCATTCCTGATCCCAGAGTGACCGTTGTCTGCACCACTCAAGGCGATTACATCGGTGTTCTCGAGTTAAAGGGAGGACCCAGTGTGGCCGGTATGAAAACAAGCCAAAACTTCTCATTCGTCGGCAAACACTTCGCATGCCAATAGGTATTCCGTGTTCTGCAAACCATTCATTTGCAATGGACCTAGTAGTGGAGAAACGGTCCCTTAAAGCCAATAATCTTAGGCTTTGGTATGTTGTTCTACGGCGGCGTCCAGTGCCCCTTGCTCATTGCGTACGGCCTTCTCGAAGCCATGCCTGACAACACCTAACCACAGTGTCTACACTACTTTGCATTCTAACTGCAATTGCCCGAAAAGAAAGTCCAGCTTCCCGAAGTCCCA